TTAACCATATGAACAAAGTTAGTTGTCATTAGTTCTAGTGTAAACCCTACGGCGTATATATATATATATATATATAGATTATGTATAGCTTCACAGATGATACAAAACAAAATTAACAATACATACACACAGTTAACATTGAACATTACTGAACTTATTACACATGTACTAGTTACAATCTGAAAACAGAACTATATTGATTAACTTGGGTAATAGCTCACTTCTTCAGTAGCCAGATTCAAATGTACTTCTCCAAAGTTCTTCTGCGAGATAGAAAACTATCTAGTGCACATGCAGCTGAAAAAATTAAGGCTATGATATATGGACTTAGTTCACAAAATTTCGAGATAATTATGATAAACAACTGAAATATTAAAGTATACTTTTTTGCTGTTTATCATAAATTGGTTTGCAATTCACCAGTTTCAAATTAACTTCAAGCTGGATAAGTTATGGATTTATGTATAATCTCTGTCAGGTAATCTCTCACAACACTGTTAGAACATTGTATCAGTTTACCTAATCAGTTCGCTTGTGCGTTTCCTTCAAAAATCCAAAGCTTAAATCAGTCATCGCACATTAGTCAAATCACAACCATTGGAGTAAGTTAACTGGATGTACCTTCTTACAATCCAATAAAATAACTTTTTTTCTTCTTCTGTTAGAAGTATTTATCAAACACCACAACTTTTCATTAAGGGATACTTATTTTTAAACAAGTCTCTTTTGGGCCAATGTAAATAGCTTATAATATATCATTAAAAAAGAACAGAATCATTAAACAATATAGGCCTATGTCCTTGTGGATGGAATGAACGCATGTTCTTCACAAAAAACTTTTATAATTCATTATTATAACAGCTTAATTTCATTACACGAACATGTTGCTTCCATGGTGAAACTTGTTGGACATTTAGTGTATCCAACTGGTTAATAAACTGAATAATATGTTATGTTCTGGAATGGATATTCCATTGGTTCATAACATTTGTGTATTGGGAAAACCAATCCAGCACTTCCACAAACCTACTAAATTCAATGCTAATGGGTGAAGTGGAAGATAGCTATCACTCTACGAGTCAAAATAATATTTATAATATTTATAAAGCCAGAATTAATAAAGCAACAACATAACTATTAAGTATCTGCACTGACCAAAAATAAAGCAGCTCTCATAATGGTCAAAGCTCTTTTGGGTTTTTTACTGACCTCTACATCAATCAAAATCCTGAAAACTATCCACATAAAGTGTACTAGTTGGATACATCCATAATTTCATATCATAAAACCCATTAGTCATGTCATTTATACTTCTGTTTCACCATTTGTCACTTACTGGATACTTCTTTGTCTCCATAACAAATAAAACCAATTATACTTTATTAAAAACAAATAAACCTATTCACTCCAGAACATCCCAGATTTCAGCCAAGAAAGGTGGTAATTTCTTGTTCTGGACCTTGAGTGAAAAACACATTTCAGAGTTCATGTTACCCAGAGTTCTGAGTTCTGTCAAAACAGCCAGTAATTTGGCAAAGTAACTCTTTCCTGGTGGTCGATGGTTTTCAATATATGCCCGCAGTGTGTCCAAATAAAACTCTTGAATCTTTTCCACTTTTTTGGGCTCAAAAAGGCTTGGTCTTTCTAATAAAAAACAGGAACACTATATGTTGCTTAATACATAATTACTGAATTGTCAGTTAACATGTGATCACTGGTCTATCTTAAATGCAAGACTAAACACAAATTATGAAGTAAAATTCTGTTCAATGAACAGATATTTACTTAGTGATTTTGTAAAGATTCTCTCTTTCTCTATATATACATGTATGTGTGCATGTGTGAAGTTCTCATGCTTAATAGCTTATACAATCACCTAAGCCTATTAAATACTTAATTACTAATTTTTGAATATAAACTAATTAGTTTTTTTTATGTCTAGGCGGATATTCTGCTGCCATTTTTAGGGAAGCCTTGAGAAAAATATTTCCATGGCGATAGTGACCAGGATTCGATCCTGGGGTTTCTCCATGGAAAGGCTGGTGTGACAAATATAGGTAAAGAAGTCACAATTTGAAAATTTATGCTTATAATTTTTTAAGTTCATAGAATTTAAATTGTTGGATTATTCCACTCATTCTTGTGATGATTGACCTCATATATGCCTGAAAATGCACTTGACTCTGCATTACATATAAATACACTTGTCAAGTTAACAGACTGTTTGTAGAGAGCTCTTTGATCAAAAAGCATGATATTATGAATCTTAATGAAAAAATACATAGATTAGGTGAAATGTAAGAGGAGCCATCCAGAATCCTAGCCTGGACTGATTTCTGTGAGGTCAGGCTAGGCACCACTTTCCTCAGGCCAGATGTAAAACCTTGTTCCTCATTTACTTTTTATACATATCTCATTGTGCAACAGTTATGTAGGTTGTGTTATCAATGTGTGTATGTCCTGTACTTTTCATATAATGTTACATATCATGCATCATACTATTATTGCAATAAATATATAACTTAAAAATATTTTTGTTGTATTACTTTACATTGTATTTGATTATGAAGAAATCTGACTTTTTTCCTAGCCAAAATTGTGACTTTTTTCCCAGTGACTTTATTTCCAGCCACCAGTGTGATCACTTATTTGTATTTGAATGAACTAACTTATTTGAATGCTTATTCCATTTTATATTAGAGAGTTTATAATGCACCTGAATTCTAACTTTTGTTGACCTTTTTGTTTCTTCAATGTATTGGAATCCACATTCGTATTGGGATTTTAGGTGGTTTGGTGTGTACTAAATGTGATTGTATTTTGTTGTGGCTTATGAATACTGTTCTGATATTATACTGTTTACATATTCTCTTTGACATAGGGGAATATGAGAACATGGCTGTGTCTCCAGTTTTCTTCCTGCTTATATCTGACATTTTATCTTCTTTAATGTCAATTGAAAAATAAATATTAGTAACTAATTAATAATTAGACTTAGATGTTCGTACTGGTTACTTATGATGGCAACAATTGAGATCTAACTGCCACAACCTAAAATAATGGAATATGAGCTGCATATACATATTTGTAACTTTGTAATATAAAACAAGAGGGAATCCTCAATAGTCGCAGCACTTGAAATTCTTTTAGGCAGGATTAGACTAACTTAATCTGTGAGACCTTTTTTTACTTTTTATTAGCTATATTTTTGTGTGCCAGTAATTCCAAGCATGATTCAATTTTATTACTCATCAGGATCTCTACCAGCCTACTCTCAAATTGAAATGTTATTAGGCAGGATTAGAGTAAATTTATCTATGAGACCTTAAGTGTGATCAAATACATTAATTGAAAGGGTTTGACCTCCCGAATCAAGAGATGAAAGGGCTATGAACTAAAAGTTTGTAGTTGAAAAAAACAAACTCGGAGCCATTCTATGAGCCACTATGATGAAGCTAAAAAATGCTCTCAGTTAGGGCCTTACTCATATAATTTACTCAGTGTTTATAGTAAAAGAATTGAATAAAAAATCTTGCTCTTTGTAATTTTCTGGGAAATTTGGTAACTTTTTAGCAATTACAACATCATAATAACAATGATTTTATGGTACCAGGCTATGTGTGGATTAAAAGTACATAACACTGAATGCATTTGTTAATAAAATTTGAAAATAACAAAATCTAAAACTTAACTTAATTAATCTAAAATGAATCAATAAAATAACTATACATAGATTGCACTAAAATTATTGAAAATCTCAGCATATCATACACACACTTTTATAGTTACTGATACAAATATTAGTTTGGTGAAAAATAAAAAACAAAATTTGTTCTCAAAATTTTTTTTACAATGACTGAATTTAAAATTGATATGGAGATTAATTGCTACCACCCCAAAAAAAGAAAATACAGAAATTGTGTAAACACATATTTAACAAGAAAGAAAGAGTGTTCTCTGTAGAGAACGAACTGAATTTTGGATCCTAAGTTTATCTTATCTTACATATGATTATGTTAAGTATCTACATTTACCTGAAAAGATAACAATAGCAGTGAGCAAGGCATACTCTGCATTGTCCACTTTCATCATGCACATGTGACGACAGAAATTAAATAGAGCATCAGCAGAGTCTCCAACACTAGCGCTGCGGTAGTTTTCTCTGGTGTAAGGCTGGTTGTTTGCAAAGACAATGGAATCTGTTTGACTGTCATATTTTCTAGCTGTTCTTAGCATCATAACCTCACTAGAGCAGGCCTACAGAATCAAAAGATAGTCTTCAAGAACTTCTAAGTTCTAATCAAACTTTTCCATTATCTACAAACATTCCAAGTTAGAAGAGAAGCACATAAAAGACTAGTTCCATTTTTTTCATTTTCTTTATGTTTGATATTAAAAATATTGACCTACATATAAACATATGCAGTGACATAGGAATTGAGAGGGGACAATGCCCCTAAAATCCTTTCAGGGGTTCAAGCAGTAAATAACAACAAGATTGTCTCCTTCGCCATTGATTTAATAATGAAGTGACTTTCAAGATTACTAGTATTATAGTAATATTTTCCCAATTTTTTCCCCAAAAGTTCAATTTGAATCACAAAGTTAATTTAAGAAATATGACTTATAGGAATAATTTTACTAACTATAATGTAAAATTAGCCTTTTAAGCTTATTATTTATAGTAAGTTTGTGATTCAAATCAAACTCTTTTTTTTTTAATACATTAGTGAAGTTTAATGTGCAATCTGAAACAAAAATTTCTGAGCCAGTCAAATACGATAACTGTTACCCTAGTACACATTAGAAGTAATTCTCAGGTGTCCATCGCATGATCGCATACTGTAACAGTGTAGGAGTAACAAAAAAAGTGTGACATGATTTTACATTATGACATCAGTTTCTGAAAGATTATTTTTTGTTTAAAATTTTTCCTCTCTTTCTGTTAAAAGTAAGAGGTGGGGATCCCATTTAAAAAGTGGGTACCCTATTGCCCCTTCCCTTCCGTCGCCTATGAATCAGTTAATATGGATAGACGAAATGTTTCACTGGTTCAAAAACAGAGCTGGGTGTTTTTCAAGCTGGGTGTAAGCTAGCTAGGTGAAATGATGGATTTATGTACCATTCTCCGTAACCATTACAGGTATTTAAATATTTACTTAAAAGTTAATGCAAGTTTAGTAATGTTTTATATAAATGAATGTTAAGAAAAGTAGTAACAAGGTCACTGGCCATATAACTGATAGTCATCCACGTACGAGTTATTTATAATTTATAGTTAGTTGGTGGATAATAGAAAATAAAAACATCTAATTATATTTCAGGCCTGGTCTCCATACGTATTTCTAATTTTATACACTTACTAAGCAAGTTGAGAACCATTTCACAGCTAGGTGAAAGTATTAACCACAGTGTTCCTTTTATATATCTGATCTCTATCTCAAGTTAAAACGAACATTCATAAAAGTGAAAGAGTAAATTTAAAAAAAAAACCCGGATGTTTCTGTTTCTAAATATTAGTAAACCAAACAAATCAATTTTGTTTTCAACTTAAAATTAAAAAGATAAATAAATTTCTACAACTCCTTACCTTTAAGAGAGTGATTTGGTCTTCTCGCAGCATGGTATCAAACCCAGGAACACGTTTAGAGAATTCCACAATCAACTGGACAGTAAGAATAGTGATTTCTGTAATATGTTGAAATCTCCGTAAACTATCTTCTTCACTTTCACCAGTTGGGAACGTCTGCACAATATTAAAACTGGTTTATATTAATTTATATATGACCTTAAGTACAAGTTATTGATAATAGTTAACACTAAAGATGGAAGATTACTAATAACAAAAACTTATTTCTTTGCTACAACTGCATACTGCCAATTTAAAAAAAATGATAGCTTGTCTTTACAATTTCACTGATGAAATTTCATTTTAAAACGTTTTAACTTTGGTTTAAAAATCAACGAAAAAGTGCTCTTGTTCTTAACTTTTAAGTCTTCAAAACCGAAATAAATTAATCTCTCTCTCTAATGGTCCTGTTCCCATTACTCTAACACTAATATGTGTCTACACTGGTATCAACCTTGCATATCTTTAGAGTTTGTGGAATTTCGCTTACAGCCTTCTGCGTTAGCCGTCTCTAATTTTGAAGTAATAGACATCATCCACTGTCAACTCTAGGGCTACACTTATATATACCAACGAAAAGTGGGATTTATTGTCACATTATAACGCTCCCCACGGCTGAAAAGGTGAGCATGTTCGGTGATGGATTCGCACCCGCGACCCGCAGATTACGAATTGAGTGCCCTAACCACCAGGGTATGCCAGTTTTTGTGGTGTGAAGTGTTAACTAAAATGTGAAATATGGTTATTAAATATTAACCAGTTTCTTTAAGTCCACTTTCGATTCAAGGCCATATACTTCAGCTAACTTATGTTAGTGCTCCATTTAATACCAACATTATGAATTTCAGAAGGGGGAGGGGGTATTAACAGCGTGCACACTTTTTATTTGTATATTTTACTCACAGATATCTTCTTCAGATCTTCGTCAGATGGGGATTCAAACTCTTCTTGAAATAAGACTAATTTGTTGATAACCTCTTCTTGAGAAGGGTCAAGGGGCTTCACCCCTGGAATTTGAGGTTTTTCCTCTTTATCAAAGCAACTTCCCTCCTTTGTAGTACTATTTGGCTTGTCCTTCTCTCGCTGACCTTTCTTGGATTCCCTCTTGATGGCGCATTGGTATTCTGGAACCACACCTGTTATAATAATATGAACATAATTTACTTCAGGACAACACATAGTGATACATTGCAGAATAATATCTGTGAAAACTACATTATCCAGTTATTTTGGTGATAATCGGGTTTATCACTAAATAGTTTCAAATACATCTATCTGCACTTGATTTATACAATCAGCTCTTTATATAGTTCAATTATCTGTCCTCACGTTTTCGTACTCTAACATAGCAGGAAATAACGTTTAAACAGCAACCACAGCTAATCTTTAGACGAGTACACAAAGTATGTTTGTAACTTAATTGATTTTAGAATATTTATACTAACATATGATATGCAAGATTATAACACTAAATATGTTAGGATAAATACGTTATTTTTTGGGGAGATTTTATTCACCAGTTGTCTAAAACTGGAAACAGTATAAGGACGACACAACTTACAGTTTTACCTCAATCTAAAACCGAAATACCATGATATCAGGATAACTGATGACAAGATAACTTACATTCTGACATCATTTTAACACTAAAATACAACAATGCCAGATAGATCACACTTCATGACAATACTGAATCACTGTGTTGATGGATAGCTTACATTCTGACGTCATTTTAACACTAAAACACAACAATGCCAGATAGATCACACTTCATGACAATAGTGAATCACTGTGTTGATGGATAGCTTACATTCTGGCCTCATTCCCACAGTAAGGCATTTCTTCAGTCGACATTCCTGACATTTTCTCCTCATGTACATGTCAATTTCACAGTGGTTACCATACTTACACTGGTAAACAGCATTTTTGTTGATACTTCTTCTGAAGAACCCTAAAAAGGTAAAAAAAAAAAACGTAACTAATGACATAAACTGAAAAACATATAATCTCTAATTTCAAGGGTTAAGTACGGAAAATCCTACCATCAACCTTTTTCTACCAAAATTAATGTCCTGGTCTTATCTATCAGAATATGGGCCCGGCATTGCCAGGTGGCTAGGGCGCTAGACTCGCAATCTTAGGGTCGCGGGTTCGAATCCCGTCACACCAAACATGCTCACCTTTTCAGCCGTGGGGGCGTTATAAGTGACGGTCAATCATTGGTAAAAGAGTAGCCCAAGAGTTGGCGATGGGTGGTGATGTACACTGCTAAATTAGGGACGGCTAGCGCAGATAGCCCTCGTGTAGCTTTGTGCGAAATTCAAAACAAACTATCAGAATATTTCCTTTTATTAAAAAAAGTTATTCACTCTATCTATTTTGATGAGTCTGATTTTTTTCTTCTTCATATATTTGTTAATACTTTCTGATCAGATACATTTATATTGTTTATTTTTTTAAGAATTCAAAGTTGATTTAATTCAGAATATTTGTAAAAATATGACGTGAGACAGAATAATATTATGCCACCTAAATCTATATTTCTAAAGTGTGACCTTCAAACAAGTAAAGTATAAAAATATTCTAAACCTTTTTAAGAAACACCTGATTCAATCGAGCAGAATCAGTCTGTTTTATTTAAAGAAGTAATTATCAATACGTGGCATTACATTCCAAAAATTATACTTCTAATCAACCGGTCGGAATTTTATTTAACCCCAATATTACCGATGAGGTTCATACGCTTTTTAACCCTATTTTTCTAAATAATTTATTCATCAAACTGCTCGCGGGTTCATGAATAATTGTTTGTTTGTTTTGAATTTCGCGCAAAGCTACACGAGGGCTATCTGCGCTTGCCGTCCATAATTTAGCATTGTGAGACTAAAGGGAAGGCAGTTAGTCATCACCACCCAACTCTTGGGCTACTCTTTTACCAACGAATAGTGGGATTGACCGTCACATTATAGCGCCCCCACGGCTGAATGGGCGAGCATGTTTGGTGGGACGGGGATTCGAACTCGCGACCCTCAGATTGCGAGTCGAGCGCCCTAACCACCTGGCCATGCCAGGCCTGTTCCTGAATAACAAGAGACAATTCACACATAAAAATTTAAACAAAAATACCATCAATATTTCAATTTATCCAACCAGTTACTGCTGGGGTCTTTCTGTATTTTACGTAGATTTCGTCTAATTTTGGGTTCTTTACAATGCGTGTTGTAACATGCAGAATCATTAAATTACTCAATATGAAGTAAAAACACAAGTTGGTAATTTGGGGGTAATGTCTGCGAGTGTTGAAACGGCTGGATTTATTTAATTACGATGATTCTAAATACCCACAACAGGGTTGTTATACCACAGAATCGATTGCTATCACATATTAAAGTTTTTCTTATTAGTGTAATTAGATCAGCGTTTCTCAAACTAGAGTCCGAGAGTCATTCCCGAAATTTCTTTAAAATATTAAAAAAAAGATTTATAAAATAAAAAATATTTTTCGTAAATTTAAATTTATATTAATTATTCAAACATGTAATTTTAGAAATACAGCTTTTCATGTACACAGTTTTTTTTTTTTCAAAACAAAAAATATATATGTATGTGGGTCAACGAAAAAAATTTAGATTAAAAGAATCCTCGGGGTTACTAACGTTTGAGCACCCCAGTGGCACAGCGGCATGTCTGCGGATTTATATTGCTAGAAAACGGGTTTCGATACCCGTAGTGGGCAGCGAACAGATATCCCTTTGTGTAGCTTAATAATAAACAACTCAAGTTTGAGAACTAAATGAACAATAGAACCTATCGGTAGTGAATGGAACTTAATAGTGTTTGTTTGTTTATTTGAAGTTATGCACAAAGCTACGCAATGGGCTATCTGTGCTTTGCCCACCACGGGTATCAAAACCCGGTTTCTAGCGTTGTAAGTCCGCAGATATACCACTGTGCCACTAGGGGCACTTAATGGTGTCAAGCATTGTAGTGCACTGTGTAGCAGATGTAATAACAATTCCTTTGTAGAAAATTAATCATTTAAAATACATAAAAAGCAACCTTAAAACATTTACCTTTACATCCTTCACAAGTGAGAGCGTTATAGTGATATCCCGATGCTCTATCTCCACAAACTAAACACAGTTCTTCAAGTTGCCGTGACGCTGGGCTCTTGTTCTTCTTCGTAGTGTCTATAGAACAGCCGTTCATAACACTGCTCGGACTGCGCTCTTCTTTTCCTGTGTGATAACAAGACTTAAACAAAGCCAATCACTTCAAAATTACTCTTACGTAAAACCCATAGGAAACATACTAAATATTTTGTTATAAAGCAATAAGATACAAATATTTTACAGGTGCATATGTAGTTGTTGCGTAAAACGTTGTTGTTGTTTTTTTAAATGAAGTTTCGTACTTTTGGAAAGACAGATTTAAATTTTTCTTAATTAGCAACCAAAGAATAACTAAATTCTTAGTATATCCGATATATTTGTACCAGATCTTATGTTTGTGAAACGACGTTATTTTTCGGTTTGTTTGTTTGTTATGGATTTCGCGCAAAGCTACACGGGGGCTATCTGCGCTAGCCGTCCCTAATTTAGCAGTGTAAGACTAGAGGGAAGGCAGCTAGTCATCACCACCCACCGGCAACTCTTGGGCTCCATTTTTTACCAATGAATAGTGGGATTGACCGTCACATTATAACGCCTCCACGGCCGAAAGGACTAGCATGTTTGGTGCGACGGGGATTCGAACCCGCGACCCACATATTGCGAGTCGAGCGCCATAACCACCTGGCCATGGTTATCTTTGAGTGTAGTAAATAATGTTTAATTTTTCATATTTCAGTACTACTCGCATATGCAGTTTTTAAAGTTGACATATATACGCGTTTTAAATAAACCAAAATTAAGTTATGAATTACTACATTAAAAACGTGCAATATTACTAGATACAGCCTAACAATTTCAAAAACTTGAAACTGGTATCGTTGCTGATTCTTTAAATGAGCCCTCCCCAGTGGCACAGCGGGATGTCAGTGGACTTAAAACACTAGAAACAGGGTTTCGATACCCGTGGTGGGCAGAGCACAGATAGCCCAGTGTGTACCTTTGTGCTTAACTACAAACAAGCCTCTAAATTGTCAAATTCAAACTTAAAACGACAAAGCAAATCTAGAAAAAAAAGTTTGGTTGTTTGTTTCGGAAATTCGCGCAACTCCATGTACTAGCCATTACTAATTTTAAATTGATAGACTAGAAGGAAGGGAGCTAGTCAACAGCATTCACCGCCAGCTCTTGGGCTACTCTAATTTAATGGTGGGATTTGACAGTCGCTCTTATAACACACGCACAGCACCAAAGTAAGGAGAACGATTTCTTCAGCAAGAGGGACACGAACCAAAGACCCTCAGATCCGGCACGTTTACAACTAGACTACGCCCGGGCCCTACAAGAAGGGAGAAGAAGCGTTTTAATAATGACATTTTCATAACAAGCCATACTTTTGATTTGAAATAGTCGGTTTAAATCTGCTTTCTTCTTCATGTATCAAAAACAATACTGCAAAAGAAGGGTACGTTGGAATACAGTAGAAAAAAGTATTGTGTGAGCTGCAAGACAAAGAACTTCAACTTAGTTTCACAAACACGAATAAAAATATCATATAAATGAAATTATCTGCTGAAACATTTCTACAAGAATTAGATGTTTTCCATCGGCGAAGAGCAATCCTGATTATTTTTCATAAATTTCATAAGATTTTAAAGGGGCTTATTGACCCATCAAGGATGTCCCTTCTAGCTCCAAACTATAACCACCCATTACATTTCATGTATTCATCCAATCTTTTCTTGAACTCAGTTAAATTTTCTGCCTCCACCACCCTTGAAGGCAGCTCATTACAAAAGCCAGCCACTCTGTTTGAAAAGTAATACTGCCTAAACTGCAGACGACTCTTACGCTGCCAAACTTTTAATGTATGATCCCTTGTCCTGTTGTTTTCACTGCTAAACACACCAAAAGTTTGATGGATTTATATTATCAATACCCTTGATAATCTTAAACACCTCAATCTAATCCTCTCTGACGCTTCTCCTCTCCAGAGAAAACAAGTTTAGAGATTTTAGTTTCTTCTTATAGCACAATCCCAGGTATCATCCTAGTGACTCTTCTCTGAATCTTCTCAAACAATTCAATGTCCTTCTTGAGGAAGGGAACCCAAAATTGTACGCAATACTCTTAATGAGGCCTTACAAGTGATCTATACAGTCAAACAATAATATATTTTGTCTTGTATTCAATATTTCTATAGATGCTACCCAAAGTCCTATTGCTAGCTACAATACACTGTTCAGATGACTAAAGTGATTTTTATATCACAACATCAACATCTTTTTCTTCAACCACAGTTTTTAATGTATTCCCATTTATATTGTAAAAATAATTTGAATTGTGAAAACCTAAATACATCATCTTACATTTTGGATAGTTAAACATCATCTGCCACGTATTGGCCCAATGCATCAAATGACCTAAATCTGTAGCATCTTTGATACAGTTAGCCACCCGAAAAATCTTAATGTCATCCGCAAGCTTCAAAATTTCATTGGTCATTCCAGAGTCAATATCATTACTATAAATCACAAACAGCGGAGAACCCAGCACAGAGCCCTGAGGCACACCACTTGTGATCCAATCAGATCTAATTCCATTTATTACTACTATCTGCTTTCTACTCTCCAGCCAATTTTCTATCCAATTTAATAACATTTCCCACACCCACAGATTTAATTTTTGTAACAAGTCTTTTGTGAGGCACCTTATCAAACACTTTCTGAAAATCAAGGTAACCCAAGTCCACAGTATTTCCTTTATCAACTTTTGCAGTAACATCCTCAAAGAATGTCAGAAGATTTGTTAAACAAGACTTCCCCTTAGTGAAACTATGCTGGCTCTTTGACACTATATCAAACTGCTTTACGTGTCTCTGCAATACATCTTTGATCACATTCTCCAAAACCTTTCCAACTACTGGCGTAAGACTAACTGGCCTATAATTGCCTGGTCAATGTTTATCACCTACTTTAAATATTGGACTAACATTAGCCAACTTCCATTTATCTAATACTCTTTCACTACTCAATGACCTATAAAGAATATTAACTAGCAGTTCACAAATAAAATATTTTAGTTCCTTTAAAACTAGGATAAAAGTTGTCTTGTCCAGAGGATTTATCAATTTTAGGTTCCCAACTTTTCTCTTATAATTTTAGAAGTTAAAATGATATATTTTACATCAATATTTTTCACATACATTAAGTGTTCTGGTTGAGGCATAATACTTGTAAAAGTGTTTCAACATAACTAAATATTGAATATCTACATGCATAGTATTTCTAGAATCGGAAAAGTCCCCAAGGGCTAAACGGTAAGTTTGAATTATTTCAACGCTAGAATTCACAGTTCGATCCCATACGGCAGGCACAGCACAGATAGCCAACTGTGCAGCTTTATGCTTAAAAATAGATAAGCAAATAGAATCGGAAAAACTGAAATCTAACCCAAGTACACAAACACTGTATCTCTCCCCCCTCAATGGATGTTAACATAGCTATAAGCAGCCATAGCTGGGGTACTTAGTACCCCTTTCCGTTCACAGATACACACTGTTCTGATTACGTTTTACTGCAGTTAAACTGTCTACATCTTAGATAAAAGGAGTGTAAAACATATTAATTCTTCTTTATGTGTGTGTCACTGTATTAAATAGTGCCAAGGAGGAGGAGGTCCCCTTAGTGAACGTATTTCTTCTCGGCATATTTTAATTGCATGAATAATATTTCAGAACCTACTTTATTTAACTTGAAGCACATAGGGGGTTCAGTATAAGCAATTATACAACACATAGTTTTAGTTATTGAACGGTTAAAAATCAACTTTTTTGGTTCCCGTTTACAATGTTCCTTATACATGTAAGGGATCATGGCGAAAGTCGTCAAACTAAGTTGTATTAATGCTGCTACTGTTTTGTTTTTAAGTGCAAAGCTGCACAAAGGACTATCTGCGCTCTGTCCACCAGGGGGGAATCGAACTCCGGATTTTAAAGTTATAAGTGTGAAAACTTACAGCTGTCACACCAGGGGACTATATTAATGCTACGCGTAAATTAGTTATCGTAGTTATTTCTACAACAGGAAAGTAAGAAAAGAAAATTCTTAGATAATTATTCTGTCAAGTTCTAAATAAAAACGCCGATAAAAGAAGAAAAATGTTGGTCTCAGAATTTTGACGCATCATCGTCGTACTTTTAAACATAGTTTAACTATATAAATTGTATAGATGAAACACCGTTCTGTAAACTATGAATTCTCACTTTTTCTCAGAAAAATTCTAACTTCATTTCAGTAGTTAAACCACTTAAAACAGGCACTTCCAGCAACAACAACGAAATAGAATAGGCGGATTCTGAGATTTTAAAGCTCTATTTGTGTATCTAAATAGTCCTACAGAATTTTGTTTACTTATTAACCAATGAAATGAGATTTGCGACATTCTAAATACAGTAGTTTGGTTGGCTAAGCAATCTCCTCGATCTCAAATTTTACTTCTTCAGAAAAATTCTACTTTTACATCTGACTAGCTTAGCCACATTTTTAATGCAAAAAACATAAAAAAAATGTATGAATCTTTAAGATAATTAACCAAAAATCTCCAAATTATGTCCCCACGAAAAATAAATAAACGACTATCAACTAACTTGTTAATCACCCGATTATTTTACTTGTTCATGCAAGAGGAGGCCACCAGACGGAGATGGAACTATTTAACCCAAGTACCCAACCCATCTCTTGTTCACTGGCTATAATACATTCGTCTGTTTCAAATTTTATAAAATATCGACGAAAACACAAATTATATAAACTGTCGCATTCGGCTGCATGAGTTCACCTTATGCCCCCTAGTGGCACAGCGGTATGTCTGCGGACCTACAACGCTAAAAAACCGAGTTTCGATACCCGTGGGGGCAGAGCACAGATAGCCCATTGTGTAGCTTTGTGCTTAATTACAATCTTCAAAAGATGAGTTATGCCCATACTTATGATGGCGATTAAATATTTGCATTAAAGTTGGCGAAAAATCTTAACAAAACTTGCTACAAATGTCAAATTTCCGTATGTAACAATGAGTCTAACATGTCTTGATGTAACATATTAAAGTATTGGTGTAGTGTTTAGACA